TAATTCGGAGAAAGTAGTCGAACAAACACGTCGTCTGAAGGATGTTTGTAGGTTGTCAATACTGAACCACTTTCATTAGGTTGAATACACCTGAGAACGCTGGAGGAACCAGAGGATCTAAAGTCAGGAGACAGATGAAGGTCTCGAGTCAGAGATCTCGTCAATAAAGAATCAGTCAGAGCACGTGAATCTCTCCCATTGAAACTGCTGTAATGTAAGATGACTCTTCTGGAGGAGACTCCTGATTCATCTGAAGCTGATAGATGTTGCTTCGCTGACTTCTTCCTCTTCGAACTGAGCTGTTAAAGGTTCTCTTCAGCAAAGCGAGAAGGTTTCTTAAATATCTCTAGAGCTCACTGAGGTTCTCCTAATTCTGAGACAACAGTCGAGCGAGAACGTCGTCTGAAGAACGGTTGGTCGGCTGTAAGCTACCTTTGTTGGGTGGAAGTTGGTTGACTACAGCTGAGAACATCAGAGGAACTGAAGGGTCTGAAGCAACGAGATGGACGAAGATCAAATGTGGTCAACGAGGAATCAGTGCAGGTGAGTTCCTCCCGTTGAGCCTCCTGATGTTCCCCTGAAGCTGCTAAATGCTAAATCTCTGTTTAATGTTGATCAGAGAATTGATCAGAACTCTCATCTGACTGAGAACGAAGCTGGAACCAGATGAAGTATCTGCAGACCTTCACTTTCATTTTACTGCTGTTGACCTTTTTTCTTTCCTCGATTCTAAAGCAAAACATTTCCCGGCAGCAGACATTCAAGGAAACTCTGACAAGTTGTCGTTTGGAGGTGAAGCTTAAACTCCACGTCACTGTAAACACTCAGCGGCGGCCATCTTGAACTTGCCACCTTTAAAAAGATCTGAACAGACGAGTCAGTCGGAGCTTCGGCTCTGACTTCATTCCTCATAAATATTTGTTTCTGAAGACAAAGGAAGAGGTTCAGCGGTTCAGGATCGACTCCCAGACGTGTCATATCTGGACTTGATGATCCTCATTTTCCACTGATCTCCTCCACGTGATGGTTGCTCCTGCCGCCCACCAGGTCTTTAAACTGATCTCTGATGGGCTGAACATCCCACCGGCTCGGCTCTCCGTCCGTTACCGAGGAACGAGCTCAGCTTCAGGCTGCCGTTGCCACGTTACAGAAGTTCAATAATCAGACGTTTGATTGATCCCTGGAGGGAGTTTCCTCCAGCGAGAGGTCAGCGGTCAGCTTCAGGAGCTGCTGGGATAAATTCATAAATGAAAACAGCTTCTTGTCTTCGTTTGTGTGTCGCTGTGTCGTTCTTCTTCTGTTAAATGTGTTCATTATTATGTTTAATTTGAATATTTGTGGATCTCGGTTGTCATTTCAACAAGCTACACGTATAGCAAAGATGTAAAAATACCACAAAGTGTGAAATCTGGACTGAAAGATTTACTCAAAATGACAATATGGTTAAAAATAGGCACGAAAATTACTCAGAATTTGTCCAAAATGGCTCAAAATCACTCAAATATTACACATGAATGATCACAAATAGCTGCATAATTGTTGAAGTGACACAAAACAATATTTAAAATCATAAAAACGTTGTTCACAACTATTCAACGATGCTCAACAATGACAGTGATTTAATTATTTTTAGAAATGATGGAGAAATTAAATTAAAAAGCTTGAAATGTGGATCCACTAATATGAACTTTAACGGCTTTTCAGAGGTCACAGACATTAAACTGCTGCAGTTTTTAGTGTTCACACTACGATACATCCCATAATACTGATGCTACCAGCTGAGAAAAATAAACAAAGAAAACAGATTCAGTCTTTAGATGTGAGACCTGGATGGATGTGAATGTGTCCAAAATGACTCGAAAATGATCCGAAATTACAGAAAATCTGTTTAGAATCACACAAAAATGGTCCAAAATGACTCAATTTGTCTAAAACGACTCAAACTTTGTCCAAAACAGCTCAAAAATGATGAAAAACTACAGAAAATGTGTTCAGAATCATTCAAAAATCGACCAAAATGACACAAAAATGATCCAAGTTGACTAAAAATGTGCTCAAAATGACATTAAGATAGTGTAAAATGACAAAAATTCTGCTTTAAAGGACTCAATAATTGTCCAAAATGATTTCGAATTCTTCAAAATTTGGTTTGGTTTGATTTGGTTTCAGTGTTTTACCAGAACTCAAATGTTTTTTTCATCCTAAACATGTCAAATTTATCCAAAATGAATCAAAAATCCCTCAGAAATGACACAAAAGTAATTCGAAATCGCAGAAAATTATCCAAATTGTTTGAAAATGACTCAAAAATATTCACAAATGGCACAAAAGTTGTCCAAAAATTATACAAGAATGATCCAAAGTTGAAAAAAGGGTTCAAAATGATCCAAAATGACTCAAAGATTATCCAAGTTGACTAAAAATGTGCTCAAAATGACATTGAAATAGTGTAAAATGACAAAATAATCTGCTTTAAAGGACTCAATAATTGTCCAAAATGATTTCAAATTCTTCAAAACGACTGATTGGTTTCAGTTTTCACCAGAACTCAATGTCAACGTGTCAAATTTGTCCAAAATGACTCAAAAATCGCTCGGAAATGGCACAAAACTCATTCAAAATCACTGAAAAATGATCAAAAATGGTTCGAAAGGGAGTCAAAAATATTTGAAAATGTCCAAAAATTATACAAAAATGATCCAAAGTTTTAAAAAACTCTGAAATATTCTCAGTGTGATAATTAATTTGGGTTTGTTCAGATTTAGTCGGTTTTATTTGGACTCAGCAGCACCACGTTTCCTCTCGGTGTTTTAAATCAGTGAATCAAACGTCCTTTTGCTTCGTTCGACTCTGCAGCTTTTTTTTTTTTTCCCTCTTTTTTCTTTTTTTTATCTCCATCAAAACGAGGGAACAAAACCGAGGGAATCAAACCGCTGAACACTTGTTGTTCTCTCCCGCGAGACGCCGCTCCTCTTAAATATGTAAACTCCACATCTCCGGGACGTGTCGCCGTGGCAACGCTCTCATCCCGGCAGCCCCCGCACATGCTCAGTGGCGACGCATTGTGATTGAAGTGTTTACGGAGCTGCGAACACGAGAGGTGACGCCGAGGCAGGTTCTCTTTTTTCTTTTTATTTTATTTCCAGAGCTGCTGCTGATGTTGATGTCGATGCTTTTATTTCATATTTTATTTCTTCTTCTTCTCTTCACTGACAGACTGGAAGTCGCTCAAAGAAGCTTTTCAACCTCAAGAAGAAGAAGAAGAAGAAGAAGAAGAAGAAGAAGAAGAAGAAGAAGAAGAAGAAGTTCTCAAACTCAGGCGCCGTAAACGACATCCAGGCTTTAAAGAGAAGGTGGAAAAGGGCAGCAGCCGGAACCACAGCTGGAGCAGGTGGACCAGAATCAGGCTCAGAGTCCATGGAAGTTGTGCAGCTTGAAAGTTGAGTTGTGATGAAACTCTGGAGCTTTCTGAGCTGTTTCAGGCGCTTACGACATTCAGACTTCTGGGTTACTTTGGAGACGGCTGACGCACTTCAAACATCCGAACAACCACGACGTCGCCTTAAAGTCGGCCGACTTTACAGCCAGAGAGAAGAAACGACCAAAACTGTGAACCCTAAAGGTTCCCAAAAGTCAGTATCAGAATTATTTATTCATGTTTATAGAATTATTTCAATTTGAAAACATTCAAAGCAGTGCTGGCCTGTTCATAACGACAATATCGTTCAAAATAACACGAAAATTCTCCCAAATTACTCACAATTTGTTCAAAATGGTCCAAAAACACTCAAAAAAAGTCTCAGAATGAAGAAAAAATGGTTCAAAATGACAGAAATGTATTTCAAGGTTATACACAAATGATCCAAAATTGCTTCATCATTGTTGAAAATGACTAAAAAAATTTGTTTTAAATGAATCAAAAGTTGTCTGAAGTTAGTGTAAAGTCTTCAACGCTCCATGAAACACTCGTCTGAGCCAGAAATTATAATAATTTAATTGAAATCACTTTATTCTACGTGTCTCATATTGAGATGGCCAAAAAATTAAACAAAAAAAACCCAACAAAATAATTGTGAACTTCTCTTTGTGAAGCCATGATTGACTTCTCGGTTGAACTGCAGGCAGCGTAGCTTATGTCTATTTAAAATAGATTCACTAATTTTTAAAACTTAATATTAATATTTTTTTTCTCTTTTAAATACTGTCAGATTCCTGTAACAAAAAAAAATCTAATTTAAATTCTAAATAATTTATATATTTTAAAATTTTTGTCATATTATTATCAGTATTATCATCATTTTGTGTATTTTTTTTATTTTTTTATTTTTTACATTTTACTAGATATTATCGGTAATTTAACAGACAAGGAAAAAATCTGTAAAATAATAAAAATTATGTACAATTTTTTACATTTCTTTTAAACAGAGAAATGTCTGTAAAAAAAACAAAACAACAAAATAAATCAATATGTTTTTCTGATTTAAATACAGTAACAATTGTCTGTGATTTTAGATAAAAATCTGTAATTTAACAAAATAGGAAAATGTGTAAAGTAACTGCAAATGGTTTTAAAGTCACAGTTTAAAGCTTTCTGTTTTTATTGAATGTCGTCATCTTAACAGACTGATGAAGCAGAAATGTTGCGTTTCCTCGACTTAAAAAAGACGATTTTTCCACAATAATCATTTTAAATGTTTGACTTTAGTCAACGCAGAAATTAGACAAAGTCACAGAATAGTTATCGTCCAAAAAAATAAACAAATACAAAGAAAAAATTCACCTTTTTGTTGCTTTAATCAAACAGCAGCGTCTTGATTTGCTCATTAAAGCATCACGATGTTGTTGAAAAGTGAAAATGTGCCTCTAAAGCCCGTCGCTGGTTGATGTTTGATATTCAGTTGATTATTTAGTTTATTATGTTTATGACTGAGTGAACGATTCAGTTCATTATTTAGTATATTATTTATTGTACTGTTGGGTGTGTGGTCAGTGCGCCTCACCACGCCATAGGCCACCGTGTCGCCGTAGGAACGCAGCTCCGGGTAGATGTTGGACAGGAACCAGCTGAACGGGCGACAGCGGAGCCGCGACCGCAGAGCTTTCCTCTCAGAGACGTCGCCGATGTCGATCCCAGAGTTCTGCAGAGCAAACGGCGCCGATTTACACCAGAACAGAGCCAATAAGAGAAGCTCCTGATCTAAGACGCTGCAGAAATAAAAAAAAACTACCGGAGCAGAAGTCAGACTGGAACAAGAAGAGGAAGGTTTAGAGAGCAGAAAGAGAGAAAAAGAGTCGAGTAGAGACGAAACGGAGCAAATTTACTATAAAAAAGGTTTTAAATTACAATACAAAATGAAATATTATTAGACAGAGATGATCGGGTCGGACCTGAACTGTAAAAAACAAAAAATAATAAAGAAAATTAAAACATTTGTT